ACACCGCGACTATACAGAAACGTAGCTTTCGAACTTAATTCTGGTGGCTTGGCCGGTTGCCAAGGCTCCTTAACAAACAGAAGAAAAAGAAAAAGAAAAAGAAAAAAAAAAAGAAAAAAAAACAGAGGATAAGAGTGGAAGAGAGCAGATAAGAAATAAACGAAGAGGCTAGACATTATCTTTCTTAAAATAACCAGTGTCAAAGTACCGCTATGATAATAAACCGATGTACAAAGATGCAATTTTTTCTCGATTCCTTTGATACGCCTCACTCACCGATCGTCTTTTCGTTAAATTCGATCCGTAGTTATTTATTCATTTCTTTTATTTTTCTTTGGTTCGTTTGGTTAGAGATGGATTTGTTATTTTCTCACCCCCCAAGAAACGACGTACGGATCGATGTCCCTTTTAAGAAAGATAATAATTTTCTTCAACACTAACGGCTATACAGCGCTACACAGGTAAGTCGATCTTTCTTATTGACATAACTTGTCTTCGTTGTCGAGCCTGCAACGATCTCGATGCAATGCGAAATTCGATGTACGTATCTTTCACTTGATGTCAGAAATTCCTCCACAATGCCTGACACGATGAGGTACTTTTGCTTTCCTGTCGCGAAACACGCGAGTTCATAATGTAAATAGTATCTCTCGCAGACAGACAACTGCATGCCATCGAGACTTGCCGATTTTTCGTTCGTTCGTTCGTTCGTCACGTATCAATTTCTCTTCGTCCAAGGTACGAAAACGTAACAATCTGATGCATGATTAAGTGCAGTATTCGAAACTTTAACTCATGAGATATCCAAGAACGCGATTAACTATCGTTAGGTATTGGAATTAACGCTGGAACTAGGTCGAAGACTAAGTGACAAAAATTGAACGGAAGGAAATTAGGAAATGATAGGGAAAAAAATAGGAAAAAGTTCAAACAAAAAACTCTGGAAAATTGCTATAACTGTATAGATTGGTCATTTTTACCATGTTGGTAGTTGCGGAAAATTGAAAACAAACTGCTGTTCAAAAATCCGTACCACGTGGGCGAGGTTCACCGATCCTTCGCGAAAATGAGTTTCATCTCATCTTCGTCTCTGACAACGACGAGCTCTCATCGGGTTCGTTAGCATGTTAATCGCCGCAACTGACTAATCCGGTTACGCGTTACAACGCGACAACTCGTCGACTGCGACGAGTTCTGTTGAACCGGGCGCGGATGGTTGTTCCGTCGACAATGGCGTCGATGCATTATTGGTTCGAGGCCGGGGGGGATAAGACGAAGACCGGCCGGGGAAAGAAGAGAAGTCAGGGAACTGTCGGGGAAAAAGATCGACAGCTGTCGGGGAAATCTGTGCCTTGCCGAGATAAGGCGGTATCCGCTTCGATCCGAGATACAAGGATTTCACGCTTTCAGCCATTTATCGAGCAAACAGATTTCCTGCATCTGCCGCTGGATCTGCGTCTCCTCGTCTCCTGCCT